CGAAACAACCATCTCCTTCTATTCCCAACATTTATTGATCTAATAAGCCATTAATGAATATTTACTATTAATGAATATTTACTATTTAATTCCATTTCATTGAAACTATTTATATTTATATTTAAATTTAAAGGCCGTATAAATATCTAAAGTAATTGTCTGAAGCGTAATCATATAATTTGTCTGTTTCTATTTTTAGCTTTGGACGTCTAACGGCGTCTGTTTTTTTAGAATAGTATAATTTTAAATATTTTAAGCTTAATATAGTACTTACCGATGGGAACTTTAACAGAATCGATGGGTTTACTTGGTAAAGTAATATGACATAATTTTAAACAATATAACATGATTTTAAAATAATATGTTTGCGTCTAATTAGTAGTTTCTGAATATTGAATTTTCGATTGATATTTTATGTATTGATAAATTTTCTAATATACATAAATTCTGAATGTTTTGAAGAGATAACTAGTATTACTATTTTACCTGTAGCAAATTTTTTTAAATTTTATTTGCATAACTTTTAGTCTTTTCGTTCAATTTTTTAAAGTTTATATTAAACTATCCTTCGAAATAAATCAGAATTCATAAATATTTATGTTAATTCAATATAACACTTAGGAGTCTCAGCAAATTCAGGCTTTAAGTTTATCATAAAATTACTTTATATCAAAAGGTTTTGTTCAGTCAATATCTCTGACATGTGACTCGGAATAGGGACTGATAGCGCCTGGTGCGGGCATGGGTGCTGGCATTGGTACTGTGTTTTAATAGTGCTATGCCCAATATTTGCAGAATCTTTGTCAATTTTAGTCGTGATAATAAATGTCAATGTTATTGGTCATCAGAAAACCTAATCTAATCTAGGTTATTTACTAAATTACATTAAGATTTTTGAGCCAATTTACAGATGTGTAAAAAAAAAAAAAAACCGCCTTATCTGTTGCCATTATCTTTTGCCATTATCTACTGCAATTATTAATTGCAATTATCAATTGCAATCATCAATTGCAATTATCTATTGGCATTATCTATTAGCATTATCAATTTAACATCTGTTGCAATATCTATAATTATATATCTTGTAAACTTTTTTTTTTTTTTTAGTTATTTATTTTGAAGATTAAAGTTGTAGAAAACTCGTTTTTTTTCAGAGTTAAAAATGCAAGGTGACCAATTATTAAGCCGTGAAACAAATATAGTGGCAAAACAAAAATAGTTTGTATTCTCGTGGTTAACCAATAATCATGGAATTTAATCGTAAAATAAAAAACATTTCCTATTAAGAATTGGTATTAAATATTTGTTTATTACGTTGTTTATTTTTATGAATTTCAGATAGTTTATGTATTTTTGTCATTCGTAAAAAAAAAAGTTAATAAATATGAGGGCGTGCAATAATACTTATATGGTTTAGTACTCTATTACCGGATTCTATTACCAGAGCATCGTATAATCCTCTGGGTACCTACCTACGTACGTACGTACGTACGTACTAAATATAGAGACTATGAATGTATCCAAATACTCTATCATGTGATCATATAATTCATTAATGAATATCATTAACTAATTTGACAAGTGTTCAATTGAAATTCATTTATAAAAAAAGTTAGAAAGTAGACTTACCCTACGAACAGAGATATAGAGATATTTGAGATTAGATTTCAATCAAAATTAACTTAAGCATTGTATAAATCAACAAATAAATAATTTTCCCATTTATATAATTGATGGTTAATATTGTACAAAGTCAGATGATTAATCACTAACTATATTCTTATCTATATTCATCCCTTAACTTGGTCGAGGTGTAACCTACTTATAGAGCACAATGTGCAGATTTATTTATTTTCGATTATGTAAAACTTTGATCTTTCTTTATGTATTTGACGTTCAAAATTTCCAAATTTTCCTTTTACATACTAAGTTTTGTAATACTTTGTAATACTTACATCATTAAAGTTCGTTCTTTATAAAAAATTTGTCGAATCTGATTCTACAATAGATCAACAGCTGCTCCTTATCGAATCAATTTGTAATGTCCAAATAAAGCTATAAAGTTATGTATAAGAAAAATACATACCTTTATAAATTCTTATTCTTACTGGTATTTTTTCCGATTCCTGAGGATCAAATTAGCCCCGTAAATACTGGCGCAATGTTTGGAAGTCGTTGTACGGTTTAATTTCAATTTATTAACAAATGCCTAATTAACCTTTCTGCATTCTACTCACGGCAAGATATTGAAACAATAGTTGGAATTTTTCAACCAATCGTGTGTGATCTTATCATTTTGAATTCGTGTATTATATTAATAAATAGCCTACTTTTTTTCTTCTCCTCATTCACTGTTCCCATTGAAATTTTTCCGTTTATTTTGCTCATAACATTAGTTGTACTACTTATTCGGAAATTTTTTGGTGACTTTGCATACGAAATATAAATAAGAACTGTTAATTTTTCTCACGACGAGTACTTTATAATCTGATTATTTCTAATTTAATCTAACTAAAATGGGGAACATTGAATCTCGTAACGATATTGTTAAAACTGTTCGAAAAAGAGATAAATCCAATTTTTCTCGGATCGGTCATCCTCATGTAAAAACTAATAGCGTTTATCCAGAGTGTACTGATAGTACCTGTAGTTATAACATTAAAACTTTATCAAATTTAACGATTCTTGGGGGTCGTCCTTATTTGGATGAGGATGTTTCTATATATTTGGTAATTTATTAATTAATTAATTTTTTTTTGACTTTTCTTTTAAATTTACAATAATTTTTGTTATAAAGTTTCCTGCTGATTGGGAAGAAGCTGATAGAGTTCAAGCTTGTCATTTCGCGCTAAAACATTTGCTTGGTGGTAATTATACTGCTCCACTTTCGAATATTATTAAACCTGAAAGTAAAATTTTAGTATGTTTTCAAAAGTTTTATTATTTGTTACCGTATATAAAATTTGTATAATCTTTTTAATTATTATTATCATTATTATTTGTAGGACATCGGATGTGGTTCTGGTCATTGGTGGTAAATTTTCAATTTCCTTAATTTCATTTCATTGCAAATAATAATAATGATATTATTATTATCATGATTGCAAATAATAATAATGATATTATTATTATCATGATTGCAAATAATGATAATGATATTATTATTATCATGATTGCAAATTATGATAATGATGTTATTATTATCATGAATAGTATTTAATTAATATCTACTTTAATATATATTTAATACCTCTTACTTATACTAGCTTTGAAATTGCTCAAGAATTTCCTGAAGCATACGTTTATGGAATAGATATAATTTCATCCTTTCCTAGTGATATAAAACCATCTAATTGTTATTTCAAAGAATGTAATATATCTGATGGTTTACCATTCAGTGACAATGAATTCGATTATGTTTTTATGCGACATATGTTTCTGGCATTAAAGAATCATCAATGGGTACCACTTTTAAATGAAATAATGAGAGTGTTGAAACCCGGTGGCATTGTTGAATTTGTAGAATTTGATTTAATTCGTAAGTACCAATTAATCTATCAATTTGATGGATGTCTTTGTTTGTATGTGGGAAAGGAATTTAAATGAATTTGGAATTCTTAATAAAATTGTAATTTTCAGGTTAATAAAATTATAATTTTCAGGTTAATAAAATTATAATTTTCAGGGTAAAATTTTTTTATTCATTATAACCCTGATCATTAATCCTAAAGTCTTAAGTTCCAAATTCACTTAAAATCCAGTCTCATACAGTACATCATAATAAATTATTTTATTATTATTTTATTATTATTAATTAGCAAATTCTATTGGTCCGGTTTACGCTCAATTAATAAAGCAATGTTGTACGTATTCAAATTTTTAGTACATAAAACTTTTACCATTGTTATAAATTTTATAAATTTATTAACCATTTGCTTAATATTAATTTTAGTTGAAGCATTATACAAAAAAAAGCAAATCGATCTCTTATTTCTTCCGAAATTTGAACAAACTATCAAAAATGTAGGATTTCAAAATGTAAATTGCAATCGTAAAACTGTATCTCTCGGAAAGTAAGTTTTCATAAAAAAACATATAAATATTTCTATAATATTTGTACAACATCTTTTTTCTTCAATCTAATTAATTCATTATATATTAAAAGATGGGATAAAAATCTTGGGAAAATTGGAGAAATATGGACATCAAATATGTTTCAAATGAAAAAATCAATTAAGTCATCAATTACATCAGTTATGAACATCTCAGATAGCGAGTTAGATCGCATATTAAACTTAATATATTTCGAGGAAGTGGACAAATATCATTCATACCAAGACCATTATATTATTTTGGCATCTAAAGGTATTAGTGATTCAAATAATTAGTAAAAACAAGCGAAATGAGAGATTAAAATAATATGGTTGGTTATATTTGTTATAGATTGTTTGGTTTTAAAATTTTCTTATTAATTAGTGTATACAACATTAAAAACAAAAATACTATATATATATAGTTGTAACTTTTTGTACTTATTTGCATATTACCCTTTTGCATTATTAAGATGTAAAATATAAAAAATTTAAGCTTCAATAAAATTATGAAAATATTTTGTTTAAAATTCTTTATTTTTGTTACAGGTGGTGACACAAATTATTTATTTAAAATAGTTACCGATTACTCATAAAATAATTTTTAATAAAATCTTTACTAGAAAATTGACTATCTGTGAATTTCCAAATTTAAACCTATTTAAATGGGAAATTCTATTTTCACCCGGGTTAAGGTCACCTGATAAACTACAATGTCATCTATAACTACAATGTCATTTATGTGACTAAAATTATTAGTAATATTTCAGGTGATTTATAATTTCCCAATTTAAATTGTCAAATCTATAATGTTTTTATGGAAGAAAATGAATTCCAGGATAATGCTATAATTTGGACAATACTGAATTTGGGTTACATATCACTTCGCCATATCAATATTCAGGCAAGAATTAGACACTTATGATAAATGGCATTTAGAAGGGCAGTTTATGAATTAGGGACGACTTGAGAATTCTTTTAAATGCAGAAGGTTCAAAGGCATCCATCTCCTCTCTAACATCGGGTGGAACTAACATTTTATACATTTGCAAGTACTGTTGAAGAAATATCGTATAACCTAGTGGGCGTCTCTCTCAATGACATTGTCCCCCAACAACACTCTGCACCCCGACAAAAATCATTTCTTGGAAATAGAGTACAGCAAGATATTTATATATATGTGCCTAAATGATTTTTGGCTTGCCGAAATTATTTTAGGCAGCCTAAACCGTAAATAATTTCGGCTGCCTAAAATAATTTCGGCTGCCGAAAATATTTTCTAATGCCGAAAATATTTTCTGACATCATTATTATACATGTGTGCCTAAAATATTTTGAAATTGGGCCACAAATCGCTTGTCAAAAAATGGGATACTATTCCAGGGGGGTACTATATGCAGCGCTATACGGTAGTAGACAATGTGTAGTAATATATGTCAAGAGCTTATCGTATAATTAACGAATAATATACGTGTGCGGACAGACAAAATTTTCTAAATTGCTGTTTTAATACAATTTTTATAAGATTTATATCCAAAAATCACCTTATGTAGAGATTGAAGCTCCGGACATTTATATGGTCTATGATAAAATATATAACTATCTATAAAGGCCAACACAGAAAAAATGTTCGTCCTTGTAATTTTAGACTAATCAAAATTCAAGATCAGGTGCAACGTGGTAGTTAAAACATGTTTTTCAAAGTAAAATGTTGCGTGTAAAATTAAGCCAGCAAAACTGCATTATGTTAGAGATCAATACAGCCCTATTAGCAAAATTTCACAAGAAACACTTTTAATTAGGCCACAGAAAGTGGCATCCTAATTAACATTAATAACTACTTTTTTGTTTGTAAAACAGTAACTTTGAAATTCGATTGGTCAAAATTACAGGGCGAAAAAAAAAACTTGATTATCAAAAACTTGTACATCAAACGACCATAGATCAAGTAAGTTATATAATACGCACATTAATATGTAAGTATGTATAACTTGTTTGATCTATGAGCATTTGATTTCCGATTAATTATAAGTATTTGAGTGTGTTGAGCACTAGCTAGATCTGTAGTTGTAATAAATTATGAGTTTATTTTTTCGGCAACCGAAATAATTACGGTTGCTGAAAATATAAAAAATGCCGTAATGCCGTAAATCGCCCCGAATTTAGGCATACATGTATAAAGATATTAATAAATGACTAAATCTAGTAATTAATACACAGTATTGATAACCATATAGGGTAACCTATAAATCTAGGCTAGGCATTTCCAAAAAGTGGGCCGTCCAAAATAATTAATATTATTGAATTAACTTTAGGGTTAGGGCTATCCTATATTAGTGTTAGGTTAGGTTTTAGGTAGTTATATATATATGCAAAATTGTCTTCCCGACATTTTTGCTTAACCTGCCCAAGGTGGTTTAGACTTCCGTTTTTTGTATTTTTTTTTAGGTTTTTTTATTTTTCTTTCTTATATTGCTTCGCCGGCGATCAGCAAAATTATGTAATTTGATTGGCTATAGTCACATGGTTTATCTCTGCTTTTGATAGTAAGATCGATATACTATAAAGATACTGGTTTATTACATTAGTTTTAAATAAAATTTTATTGCTAAATATGTACAAGCTCTTTAATAATAGAATATCCAAGTTTAATATTTAAATTTTGTTAATTTTTGCAGTGTGTTTGGGTTCGTCAACCAAAAATTAAAGTTTTTTTTTCATATACAGTATAATAAATCTTTAATGAGTTCGGGTTAGTTAGTAATAAATATCACCTTTACACGTATCTATATCTCTATTCTTCAAATACATATAATAAATTCTTTTGTGCGTATTTATTTGCTTGCAAGCTTCTATATATAAGTTCCCTTTTCGTTTTCTAATAGTATTAAAACAATGAATTTTTTTAAAAAATTGTGTTATTTAATTAATTAATTGTCACAAATGACGAGTAGATTTATAAACATTAAGGAAATTTACATATAAGGGTTCGATAATGGAAATAATTACAAGGGCACAAAATAAACATAATTGCAAATGAGTGCTGCCAAGAGAAATGATCCTTAGGACTTTCAATTACATTTTGACCGGACACACCCTTAATTTTAATAAATTAGATAGATTGTGTCCAGTTAAAATGTAATTGAAAGTCTGAAAGGACATTTTCCCTTGGCAACACTCATATAAGGGTCGAAATTTTGAAAAATATTACTATTAAAGACCAAATAACTTTACATTATTACAATAGTGATTCTTTGAACGTTAACACTGTATACATGTATTTATTCATTTTATACTATATCCTCTTTCGCTTGATGAAATTTTCTTTTAACCAAGATACAATTCGACTGGGTTAAGCACGATATTTATCAATATTGTAATTTATTCGGTTCTAAACTGAGTGTTTATCTAATACCAAGACTAGTTATGAAATATGAATCACATTTCGTAAAGTTACTACGCGTTAATCGAAGAAATTTAGAATCAAAACTTTTGGAAATTAGCAAAAATAGTTCTAATTTTTACATGCAATGCTGATTAGAAAGTAATACGTTTTATGGTGTTGGCGAAAATCTTTATACGCATAGTTATATGATGAGTGAGAATTTGTTGAGAAAGTATAACTGACGTCTCGGCCGATACGCCTGTTATACTTTCCTTACATTTAATTTCCAAAAATATAACTATTACTTGCACTCCCGCTATAAGAATTATTATAGACTTAATCCTCTAATTAGAGTTTCGCATGCGCTGAAATATTCATGAAGCATTCATACGACGAATGGCGAAACCTTTTGCAAGCCAATTTTAAATGACGAATTGACGAATGACGAAACCCTGACGAATAACGAATGGCGAAATGATGAAACCTTTGACGAAACCTATGACAATTGATGAAGCATAAGACAATAGGGTGCCACCAATTAGTTTAATCACACTTATTTCAAGGTATATTTACCTTGCCCTATGCTTGTGGTTATAAGAAGGTCAAGTAGAATTACGTGACATTACGCTAATCAAAAATAAATTTGTACAGTAAAATTCACATGAGGCATATAAATTACTATCTGGCTTTAGATTTAGGGGAACTATCGCAAATTTCGGAAAAGCCCGGGCTTGTCACATGGTAACAAGCCAATCAGAAAATGACCCTTATGCACATGACACTGCGTTAAATTTCTCGAATTTTAAGGGTAGAGGGTACTATTTTAAAAGATCGCAGGTTGCTATATCGCAGGTTACTATATCGCAGGTTACTATATCGCAGGTTAATATAATTGACCAATTAGATCACAGGATCTTATGTAACAAAAATCAGCGAAAAATTAGAAAACTTAATAAGAAAAAAATCAAAATTTTAAATATCTCGAAATTTCATTATGTAAACTAGTCTTGGGATTCTAATTAAAAGTTCTCAGCACTTGATTTTGCGTATATATGTGTTCTCTAATCCCAATTCTAATACTAACTTGAACCATAACCCTAATTAATATTTTTTTTTTTTTAAATATTAACCTGCGATATCACAACCTGCTAAATTTAACAAAAATCTTAATTTAAACATTCGATTTTAATAAATATTAAAGTACTATATACTATTATAAATTAAAATTCTTTTATATTCATTTGACCCTATTAACCGCTTAATTTAACCAACATTAAGAAAATACTAACCCATAATGAAATTAGTTCTGCTAGCACTACAAAACAAAATTAAAAAAGGTTCTAATCTTTATTTAAATCGCAAATAATGCATAAATTTATTATTATATACTCAATATTATATATCATATTGGCATGTTTGATTTTTAGAGTCCTTTTTGATAAACCATTACACAAAATTTTGCTCTAAGTAACATTGAAAAAGTAATAAAACAAAACACTTGTAACTAATAAAAAGGCTAATAGACAAGATAAAAAAACTAATAAACATCAATAAAACATCTACACTAAGCTGTAAAAAGAATTATTTTACTGTTTGTTGAAATACTCAGGGTTTTAGAATGAAAATAATGGGTGTATAAAGTTTATGATGGGTTGGTGGATAAATACAAAAGAAAGTTTCAAAAAATTGACTTTTTAAACTTATTTTTGGCTTATAATTTTTTTTTTTAGTGTTTAAGTGATGTTATGCCTCTTGTATCTTTTTATTAATTCTTAAGTTTGTACACTACTATACAACCTTGTTGCTCACTTATGCATTTATTAACTGAACTAATTTTCAAATACGGGTCTCAGACTACTTTATTTGTGACCTAAACCTACCAGAGTATTCCATATCCCACCTCCATATTACCTGGTTTTAGTGCTTCACAACTAACTAATTCTAGTTACACAACCATATTTTCCCATGATCACAATTAAATCTCAGTGACTTCCAATTTGATATATTAGGACTTATTTTGGGTTTGCACCAACTAAGTTACACTAGTTTGTATTTCTTCATTTCTATGAATGCCTAGTCCTCTCACTCATTTGCTCAGATATTACTAACCCGTATTTCAAGCTAGAGATAAAGGCCTGCAAATTCATAATTTTGCGGTCTGGGCCTGGCTCACAATTAGTATTAAAAAATTTTTGCTAGCCCACTTTAAAAAATTTAAATTTTAGGCCCATCTAGCCTGGCCTGCAAATATATAAATTTTAAATTTTTAAAAATTTAAAATAAGTATAAAAATATTATGATAGAATAAAACCTATATTGCCAAT